CCGTCCCCGGCCGGGCGACCCCAGGGCGCGGCAGACTCGCCCGTCTCCCCGCCGCTCCCCTCGGCAGTGTGACTCAGGGGCCCCGCCTGTTCCGCTCCCCGCTCTGTCTCTGGGGCGTCCTCTCGCCCCCGCCCCTCTGGCCGCACCCCAGCTCTTGGATACGTAAGTAGGTGAATCCTTTTCAACAACGAAAAGACCCTCGGGATGCGTCTAAGCCAAGAGACTTGTGTGCCGAGCCTCTGGCCGCGGCTGGCAGGGTTCTGGGCACGTGGCGGGGACACCCCCGAAGGCCGCGCGGGTGGGGCGGCCGGCCCTGGGCTCCCGCAGGGACTTGGGGACCCGGCAAAGAAAAAAGTGAGAGAATCCGACCCCAGCCTCCAAGCACCCCGAAGCCGGGTCCCGGGCCGGCTGGAGGCGGGGCAGTGACACAGGCGCGTGGCCGCCCGAGCCCAGAAACCACCCCCCTCCCTGCCGAACGCTGGCGGCAAAGGCGCCCGGCGCGGGAGGAGAAGCGGGCGGTGATCTGGGGACAGACCTCAGGGACGTGGGGAGAGTCATCGCAGCCTCGTCGGGGCGCCGGAGAGGGGCTCGTCGGGGAAGCACGGATGCTGGCTTCGTGGAGACCAAGGCTTGAGCCCGTCGGAGACCCCGAGGAGGCAGGAGGCGTCGCCCCCGTGCCCCCCGCCCGACCCCACTCGCAGGCCCTTCGCGGGGACCTGGGCTCGCGTCGCCGCGGGCACCGTCTGCCTCACATCGCGCTCGCCTGTCAGAAAAGACAGACGGTCGGGAGGACCTTGGCGCGCCCTTTCCCCCCGTCGCGTCAGGCCCCGGGGCCCTGCCTGCCGCCCCCAAAGCCGCCGTGCCCCGTGGAATTCCGTGGGACAGTCTTCCGGCCCTTGGCGGCCCCGGGCCCCTCTGCGAGGCCTCACCGCGCCGCCCGGTCCCTCCCGCTGCAGGGATGCCGGCCTGGCTGCTGGGCACCGCGGGGCGCGGGCCCCTTCTCAGCCCGGCTCACGAGCCGCGTGTCCCCCGGGGCAAAGTGGGGAGCGGCTCTTCCCCGGGGGCCACAGGCCTCTTGGTGCCGGGCCGCGGCGCCCAGCGTGGGCGTTTCTGGTTGGGCCCTTTTAATAGACGATTTTTTTTTAAAGATTTATTTATTTATTTACACAAGCACTGGGCACAGGCAGAAGCGCGGGAGGGTGAGAGGATCCACCAGAGCCAGAGCGGGGAGCAGAGCAGGCGGAAGGACCGAAGGACACTGCTGAGGGGAGCAGCGGGCGGCGGGAGGGGTCTGCGCGCCATGTGGGACCCTCGCTGGAGGCCGGGAATCGAACCGGCGCTCAGAGGCTGCGGGCAGCATTGCAGCCCAGCGCTCAGCCGCTGCGCCACTGGGGAGGCCCTTAATCAAAGATGTTTAAAGCTTTCTCCAGCTCCGGGGTCTCTTTCCCTCCCTTTACCGCCGGAGCCACTTTCTCCCCTCTCGCGTCCCTCCTGCGCACCCTTCCCGGGCCACCCCCTTGTGTTGGGGTGCTGCGGCCACCCCCTCACAGTGTGCGGAGAGCGGCCACCATGTGGCCACACGTCCCACCCCAGGGCCCCGGGGCCGGGCACCTGCAGAAAGAGCTGTCGGCGCCAGAGAGAGGGACGCAGGGAGACAGGGCCGGGTCAGAGCAGGTCTTTATTCAGAGACACCATTCACACTAGTGAGGGGGTGCGGGCGGGGGTCCCCACTGCTGTGCAGCTGTGCCTGCGGCACAGACAGACGGGGCCTCAGATCTTGCACTGGCAGCAGACGGGGGCGCAGCTGCACTGGGAGCAGCTGGGCTTGCAGCAGCTGGACTGGCAGCAGCTGGGCTTGCAGCAAACGGGGACACAGCAGCTGGACTGGCAACAGCTGGGCTTGCAGCAAACGGGGACACAGCAGCTGGACTGGCAGCAGCTGGGCTTGCAGCAAACGGGGACACAGCAGCTGGACTGGCAACAGCTGGGCTTGCAGCAAACGGGGACACAGCAGCTGGACTGGCAGCAGCTGGGCTTGCAGCAGCTGGACTGGCAGCAGACGGGGACACAGCAGGTAGATTGGGAGCAGCCACAGGAGCCGCAGCCCCCACAGGAGCCGCAGCCCCCACAGGAGCCACAGCCCCCACAGGAGCCACAGCCTCCCTTGCAGCCCCCACAGGAGCCACAGCCCCCACAGGAGCCACAGCCTCCCTTGCAGCCCCCACAGGAGCCACAGCCTCCCTTACAGCCCCCACAGGAGCCACAACCCCCCTTAGAGCCCCCACAGGAGCCACAACCCCCACAGGAGCCACAGCCCCCACAGGAGCCACAGCCTCCCTTGCAGCCCCCACAGGAGCCACAACCCCCACAGGAGCCACAGCCTCCCTTGCAGCCCCCGCAGGAGCCACAGCCTCCCTTACAGCCCCCACAGGAGCCACAACCCCCCTTACAGCCCCCGCAGGAGCCACAGCCTCCCTTGCAGCCCCCGCAGGAGCCACAGCCCCCTTTGCCACAGCTGGCGCAGGGGCAGGCGGGCACACAGCAGCAGGCGGGCACACAGCAGCAGGCGGGCACACAGCAGGAGCCGCAGCCCCCGCAGCCCCGCAGCCCCCGCAGCTGGAGCCGCAGCCCCCGCAGCCTCCGGAGCAGCCACAGCAGCCCATGGTCGTGGTGAGTGCGAGTGCGGGACGGAGCGGGTCAGAGGAGAGGAGAGAGGGAGGGTGGAGTGTGGGGCCTGGCGGGGGCGGGGCCTTTATACACCTGCAGGCCAGGTGCGCCCTGCACGTGCCCTTCCTGCTTCCTGTCTGTGCTGCTTTTGTTCTGGAATATTCTGAATGTTTGAGGAACTTAGGGCAGCACGTGAGAGAGGCATGAGATCCCCTTTTGCTGTGTTTGGTTTCCCAGCACTGGCCTCCCTCGCCAAGGCGGGGTGGGGAATGGCGGGGCTTGGGGGGGGTTGGGGCGGGTTCCTGGCGTGCCCTGCTCCTGGTGCCCTCTGCTGCCGCTGCTGCAGGGCCTGGTAGGGCTGGGCTGTGGTGCTGAGAAGGGAAGGGGGCGGTGGTGATGCTGTGTCTTGTGGAATCTCCATTTTGGTTTGGGGCTCTGCACACCTTCTGGGGTGCTGCAGGTGCGCCCTCTCACTGGGCAGCTCCTTCCCTCCGCGGGGCCAGCACCATCAGTCTGGAGTCCGGCCCCGAGGCCAGGCTCTGCCCGTGTCTCCAGGCTGGGACAGTGCGCCCTGTGCGGCCCAGGAGAGTGTGATTCTGGGTTGTTCTCTGCCCTGAGTGAGGTCAGGGCCGCCCCACACACCCCCACCCCCTGCCTGGACCAGCCCCCCTCTTGGAGTTCTGAGTCAGAACTCCCGCTGTGGTTACTGTCTCCGACAGAAAAAGAGGCCTTAGGCTCCGGGGAACGCCCCGCTCCCCTGCCCCACGGGGCTGGCTTCAAGCCGGGCCGGGGTCGCCCACATGACCTGACGTCGGCCCATCCGTGTCAGTGTCGCGGGCGGCCGTGCAACCACTCGCCGGCCGGTGTCCTGACAGGTCGTTTCTCAACCAGCCTCGGAGCGCGCGAGGGTTGGGGTTAGAGACGCAGCTGCCACGCTGTGCTCCTGGGGCGGACGGGCGCGCACCTGTCGGGTACAGACATCGCCGCTGCCCGTGAGAAGCCCTGGGGCCTGCGCAGGCGGCGGTGCCCCTCGCCCGGGCCGGGAAGCTCTTGCCTGCACCCGGCCTCTCTCTGGACCCCTCCCTGGGCTGTCCGA